CCCACAAAAAAAAAAAAAAAAAAAAGAAGGAAATTCTGACATATCCTCCAATATGGACGAACCATGAACATGATGCAAGTGAAATAGGACGAACCATGAACATGATGCAAGTGAAATAAGCCGAACCATGAACATGATGCAAGTGAAATAAGCCAGTCACGGAGGTCAAATACTGTATGATCACACTTACATGAGGTCTCTAGAGTAGCCAGATTCCTAGAGGCAGAAAGTGGGTTTCAGAGGCTGGGGGAGAGGGTATGAAGTTTCTCTTTAATAGGCACAGACTTTCAGCTTGGGGAGATTAAAAACATTTTGGAAATGGATGGTGGTGATGGGTCATGCAATAGCGTGAATGTACTTAATGACACTGAATTGTATACTTAAAATGGTTAAAATGATCAATTTTATGCTATTTCACCATAATGACCTAAATACTGTAGATAAATACTCTAAAAGTGGTATGGTCAAAACATGACATAGTGAAACTATAAGGGGACTTCAAAACGTTCATGGAAAAATGAATTAAAGTACAAATTTAATTGGGAGGTGATTTCTCACTTTCCCTCTCACTATCTGTGAGGCATGTGCCCTATGACAAAAACCTAAAACAAAACAAAAGTAAAAACAAAAAAACTAGTTTCTTGTGAACAACAAGAGTAAGCTGTTACCCTCATCACAGTGCTTTCTCTCTAGTACTTGCTACCTGCCTGTCTCTCCAAGAATTCTTTACGTCCATAGGGGTTGTACTCACCTCTGCATCCTCTGCAGAAATTGGAGACTAGAAGGTGCAAAAGTATTTGCTGGACGAATCAATGTTAACTCTTCATATCATTCAAAACACATCAGACATTAAATGTATTTGTAATGGTCAACCCCTTACCTAATTGTGGGGCAGTATTGTAGCAGTTAAGAATCTTCTCATGAGGAGCCAGCAGATGGTGTGGTGTGGAGGTTAAGGTGCTGGCTCCCACATGGCCAACTGTGTGGTTCGAGTCCCAGACCTGGTGGCTTGGAAATCACACTGGGCATGTGTACATACATGCCCCAAATCCCGAGAGGAGAATGGAGCGGAAGGAACTGCAACATGGCAATCCCTCTGGGGGGTGACTTCTGACATTTCCCCTCTCTCTCTCTGTCTCTCTGATGAGCATGGACACATGATGGCAAGAATAAAAAAAAATTATAAAGATAAAAAGAATCTTTTCATGAGTGTTCAATTCAAAAGGATGAAAATAAACAAACAAAAATCTGGCAATGTGACCCCATGTCCTCCACTCCCCCATAATTGCCCATTTGGTGCAGCCGAGCAGTTGAGGGCCTACTGCAAGCTATACCCAGACAAGTGATGGCTGGGCTAGGGAAGGAGGTAAAAAGGTAAGCAGCAGTAATGCAAGACGAAACATGGGCATTTGAGGTGGAAGGTCTGGGTAAGGTGGGTGGAGTCCTCTGGAGAGGGGGAACTCTGGGTACACAGAGGGAAGTAGGAGGAGTTGGGTTCCTGGGGATATGGACCAAGCAGGGCCAGATTTTGAGAGTGGGTCAGAGGAAGGATCCAAACACTAGCTTCTCAGATTTGGCTGGGGCTCACCAATCAAGGCAACTGCCACTCAAGGGCCTAGATCTAGCACCAGTTTCTCTCCCCACCACCAGGTACTTCACCAATTTGCAACGTGCACAGGTGATGCCAACACCCAGGAAGGGGTGATGATCAGTCAATCACACCTTAGACCAGGATTCTGACTTCTGGTTAGGTGAAAGAATTATCATGGGGCCATCCATGAATTTAGAATAAGTTTCCACTACTTTTTTTTTTTTTTGCAATTTATTTCTTCTATTAGCAAGAGAGACAAATAGAGAAAGAGAGAGACAGCACCTGAATAGGGCTTCAATGCCACGATCCACCCTCACTCTCAACCATCTCCTGATCATGAGCTCATGAATCTGGTGTACTCAGGAAAGTCTCCAGATACGAACCTGGAACCTCCCTATATGGGACAGCTTCAAAGAACACTGCATTTCATTCCTATACCACTGTCTAGTCCCATAGTCTCTGTTTTGTTTGTTTGTTAATGCTAGAGGGCACACACTCATTCACAAGTTGGGGGTGAGAGAGACAAAGAGAAAACACCCCCAATAGGGCCTGGTCATGCTGCAATCCTTTTCCCCCCAACTCTTCTGCCAGGATCCTGGGCACATGTGCATGTCCCCTGTATGTTTTTTAAAGATGACAGGGCTCGGACTCAAACCCTGGTTGGCCATGTGGGATCGGGGTTCTTCTGTGCAGTGCCTAACCTCTGCACTGTAGGGCCAGCTCTCTACCACTATTGACATTGACTACAAATTTGGGCTGTCTTTCAAGGGCTTGCACAAGAGTACCTTCCTCCTGTCGTACTTGCTCAGGTCTCACTCTAAATAGGTCATTTTCTCACTGTCCCCACCCTGTGGCCATTCTCTGTTCCCTCTCACAGGGGCACTGTCCTATTTCTCTTTCCTCTTCTGTTAAGGGCTAAATTATAATTTCCCAAAATTCATATTCTGAAGTCCTAAACCCCACTACCTTACAATGTGACTGGAAATAGAACCTTTAAAGTAATTAGAAAGGGTCATTTGGGTGGACCCTAATCCAATATGACTGGTGTCCCCATAAGAAGAGATTAGAGGACCAGGAAATGGCATAGTAGTTATGTGGTTGGACTCCCACATAGTTGACCATGGTTTGAGTCCTGAACCCAGTGGCTTAAAACTCACTCTGGGCATATATGCGTGTGCAATCCCAGGAGGAGAAGTGATTTTTAGCATGGGCATCTCCCCCAGGGGGTGATTTCACCGTTTCTGTCTCTCTGTCTTTCTCTGTCTCTTTAGCAAGTGCACACGCCCTAGAGTAAAAATCTCTCCCCATGGGCAAAAAAAAAAAAAAAAAGAGGAGATTAGGACACAGGCATGCACCTTCTCTTTGGAGTGTGAAGGAAACATCTTTTATCCTCACAGGAATGATCCAGATGTAGCTGGACACTGAGGTGCAGAGCTCACAAATGGATGAAAACAAGGCACCCCCCAATACACACACACAGAGGAGGACAATTTCAGGGGGGGAACACTCTGTCCAAATGACACTGACTTACCATGCTGCTCTTAGTAAACTCCAGTCAAAGGTACAGGGATGCCCCATCACACCTATCACCCACAGTGCAGGGGGCATCGTGTCATACCTAGAAGCCTCTCCATTCTCCAGAACACCCCAGGGGTCTGCAGCAGGACTCTCAGGCCCTGGGTGTCATATCACTTAGGCAGGTGGGTTCCACCAGGCTCTCAGCCCAAAAATCACAATTCCATAGAAGTTGAGAACCCAGCATGCCTCCCCCCCTTCCTTCCCCTGCCCTCCCTCCACAACACACACACCCAGAAACGTGCATCATCTGTGAGGGACCAGCCAACTTCTGCAACCATCTTCACCTGGGCCCATTGGTCATTTCTGACTAGTGCCATGGAGAATTTGAGGAGACAGAGAGCAATCGAACAAAGAGAAGTGAGAGGAAGGGGGGGCAACAATGGCACAGCTGCTCCTGGGGCCCACACTTACTGGCTCCTGGAAGTAGAGCTGGTAACTGAAGACGGGGTTGGCTTTGATAAACTCCATGGGGGACACCTTGGGATTCGCTGGCATGAAGGGAGTATTCAAACTGGCCACTGCCCTGTCAAATCAAAGACCCTGTAAGAAGACAGTCTACAAGAACTAGAAAGGACTTCTTGCATCAAAACCAAAGCTCGAAGTGGAAAAATGATATACAGAAGGTCTCACACTAGCAGTGTGTGGGAGAATGGGATTAAGACTCAGATTCTTTTTTTGATTGATGATAGAGTATGTATGTGCACACGTGAGAGTGAGACAGAAAAATGAGCACCCTCCATGGGGTCTAGTCAAATCACGATCCCCTGCCTCCAGTGCTCCAGCCTGTTAGATCTTAGGCACTCATGCCTGCACCTGACATGTGACATGTTTTAGGCAAACCAGGCTGAGGATTTGAACTCCAGCTTCTCTTGCCCCTCCTCTCTTTTTTCCCGTTGTGATTTTTTTTTTTTTTTTTTTTTTTTTTTTTTTAATTCCTAGCCCATAGTCTTCCTAGCCAGGCAAGATATCTTGGGCACGAGGGCACATACCTTCTGTGTACAGGTTGACCCTGGAACTAAACCCTGATCTTCCACATGGCTTCCATCACTGCCGAGTGGCATGCCCTTGCTACACCTTGATGGCTCAGCCTGGGTTTTCTTTTTAATCACCTTGACATCTAGTTAATTCCATGCATTTAAAAAATCATTATTACAAAATGAGGTGATGTACATAATACTTCTGCCAACTGTAGTAAGATGAATAAAAGCTAAACAGCAGGCTCCTTTGGGGAGCAGAATCTCTAGGTGACTGGTAAAGAAAATAATATAAAAGGACATTCTTTTTTTTGAAAGAGAGTTTTTTGCTATAGGGCACATGTGTTCACTGGGTAGACAGAGAGAGACTGAGAGATAGAAAGAGAGAAATCACCCCCCAGGGGCAATGGCCATGCCCTAATCCCTTCTCCTCATTCTCCTTTCAGGATTCTGGGCATGCATGCACACACGCCCAGCATGAGTTTTGAGCCACTGGGTCAAGGACTTGAACCACGGTTGACTACATGGGAGTCCAGTGATGTAACCATTACACCATCTGCTGGTCCTGTAAAAGGACATTCTTGGCCAAACAAATGAATAGCTCCTTAAGTAGGAAGTGATACTATCATTTATCTCAGTAGAAAAGCCAAACCAAGGACTGAAAGATATATTCCATGTAAAGGTGAGCTTTTTTTGTTTGTTTGCTGTTTTTCATTATTTGGCTAGAAAGGTGAAGATCAATGTTGTCAATGACATCCACGTTTTTTGTTTTTGTTTTTAATTTGCCTGAGGGTGCATACGCTTGCAGGAGACAGAAAGAGAGAGAATGAGAGTGAGAAAGCACTCCCTAGGTGTTCCAATCTCTCTTCCTCTGTCTCTCCTTCTTTTCAAGATTTTGGGCATGTACGCACACATGCCCGGCATGTCTCTCAAGGAGCCAGGTTGGATACTCAACCACATAGTTGGCCATGTGGGATCAAGATGCTTTAACCACCACACCACTGGCTGGCCTCTCAGTGACATTCTTAAATAAGAAATATGCCCAGGCTCAGAAATACTGTGTTCTACCATGGACACCTTAGAAGTAAGTCTTGGTTTCCTCCAGCACCTCCGGGACTGCAGTGTCAAAGCTGGCTTGCTGAGAGCAGATGGAAAAGCAACAGCTACCAGACTAACGGTGGACAGGCTAGAAGCAGAGAAAACAAGAAGAGGAACCAGAAACCTGAGCCTGTTGAAGTGTCTTGGATCTGATGTTGCTCTGGGCAAAACTTCACTTTTTGCTTATGGTAAGTGTTTTAAAATTCTCACTGGCGACAGAGATTAAGTGTAGTAAACAAGAAGGTGTTTTGCCTTCTTTCAGGTAGAGATCATATGCTCGTTGCTATAGTTCCTTTTGTTCATGTCAAGAAGCATTTGAAGATATTTTAGGGCCCATCTGCCATGGCACAGGTAGTAGGGTGCCACTGAGCAGTATGGGAGCTGCATGGTCCTGGATCGACCTGGACATGCTAACAGACCATGTGTGCCTATAGGCTCCCATGATCCTGACTACCTGCAGAGCTGGGGTTGGGGGGAAACAGCTGTGCAGCAAGACCCTGTCAAGAGTATCTCTCTCTCTCTCTGTCCTTTGATAAAAATAAATGAACTTAAAAATAATTTATCCCTCTTTCTCACTCAGATACTTAAATTAAATTAAAAAATATTTTAGGGAATGTTTGAACCTTTCTAAGCTTAGATAGAATCCTGCCATTTGAATTAGGATTGAAGCTGAACAAAGTTCTCTGGTGGTTCCAATCTCATAGATTTAGTGAAATAAAAAGCAATTGGATTAATTAGAGAAGTGGAGAGGGCTATGGAGGAAGTTCATATGCTTTACTAGATCCCAGGTTTGAAACCTGTCATTCGGAAGCTTCTGCTGGAGCTCTGAAAAGCCACTCGAACAATGGCTTCTAGTAACGATCGTGAATGCTGTGATGTGACCAGGAAATGCCATGTGAACCTCACATCTGCAGTGTTTCTCAGGCTGTACAAAAAGTTTGTTAAAATGCAATTAAAGTACAAGTTTATTTTGGTGCAAAAAAAAAAATCCCTATGCAGTTTTTCCATCATATATATCTTTCATGAACTTTTTGAAGACCCCATGGTCAGGTAGGAATTACCATCACCACTTTGTGGTTGGGACAACCAAGCCCTAAGGAGTATCAAGATGTGTCACATGGCTGGTTCAGGGAAGAATCATAGGCCCCGGTTTCTGACTCCCAGCCCAGGGCCGAAGTGCTTAATTCTAGGACTACAACACCCCTGCTGCCCCTCGCACACCCCTCAAAGTCAGCCACTGTTCTCTGGCCTTCCCACTGAACACCTTGGCCTAGGTTGATTTGTCTTATTGCTGGTAGGTGGGACAGTGCTGCTTCCTAAGACGAGAGCTCACTAAGCCCTCCTTGTTAATGCGTCTGTGGGCACTAAAGGGTTAAGGTGTCACCTTCCTAGATTATCCACTTGTTTTCAAGAGGTCTTCCAGGGTGAAAGATCTGAAGAACCATGCTCATGGGAATTCAAGTCCAGTCTCACCCAAATTCTTGTAGTCTGTGGTCTACTTACCTCACTCTCTCAGGGTAGAAGAGAGCCATGTTCCACACCAGCATGCCTCCCCAGTCGTGGCCAATGAACACTGCTTGAGAGATGCAAAAAAAGAAGGGAACTGACTGTGGGCAGGTTCTGCAATGGGGTGCTGAGAGCCCTGAGGTCTTCTGCTCCCATTAGACCCAGACCTTAGCCAGAGATCCAAGAGACTCCTCTTACCGACTCAGCAGTAGCTACTCCAAACTTCATCCTCTTCGATTTTACCCACTTGCTAGCCCCATATGGCCCCACATAGCCTCTATGCAAATGACTGATGTTTTTAGTTTTCTAAAAAGTCTGAAGCCAATGGGGATGGATTCCTTTTCCTTCCCTCCCTTCCCTCCCTTCTGTCTTAAAAGAATTGTAACTTACCTCTTCATATCCCATGTTCATCTTTCATTGAGTAATTATTATATAATTATATCCTCTACTCTTCCAGGAGCTCCCCTCTAATTAACTGCTACAAATTAAAAATCCTTCAAATCCTTTTTACTCTCTCTTTGCCTGCACTTTCCTCTCTACTTCTGCTACTGATGACAATAGCTTCCCTTTATTGAGCACCTACTGTGTTGCAGGAACTGTGCCAAGTGTCTACATTCATTATCCAAAATCCTTCCAATAACCTTCAAGACCCATTTTACAGATGGGAAGACAAGCTCACAGCAGGAGAGTGACCTGCCTAAGGGTGCACACATGGTAAGTGGGAAAGCCACAATTCCACCCCAAGTGTCCAAAACTAAAATCGGGTTCTTTCTTCTGCCCCACCCACTGCACCCACTCCACCACCTGAGGGCCTTTCAGGTCCTCCCCAGCCTCACCGCCATCTTGAAAAGCTGATCCTTCCCACAGTTCCCTGTCATTCTTCTGTCTTCTCGTCAAACTTCTGTCACTCTTTTGTCTCCTTGTCAAACTTCTCACTATGGTCTACACCAATTGGCACCCTAACTGCTTTCTTGCATCTCTGCAGCTTAACTTCTTCTCTGCTACCCCAAGTCCACTGAAATCTCTCTCTTTTTAAAAAGTTTATTATTGTTATTAAAGTTTATTTTCTTTCTTTCACAAAAGAGACAGACAAATGGACAGGTACCCCTGATAGGGCCTCATCATACAACGATCCTCTTCCCAACCTCCTGGCCTCCTAGCCTCCCAGCCAGCCAAGATCGTGAGCACCAAGTGTGTTTGGGTCAATAATGGAAACAGTGGCACCCTCCACCTATGCCACTATGGCTGGGCTGAAACCTCCCTCTTAAAGATCAATGCCTATAAGGCCAAATCACCAAAAACAGTTGTGGCGTTCTCTGTTTTCACCTCTCTGACTGTTCTGCAGTGTCAGGCATTTCCTTTGAAACTTCCTGCCCTTATTTTCAATGGAACTGTGCCTCCCACTCTCTTACTTCCTGAGTTCTCTTCCTTCTCCTCCCTCTTCCACAGAAGTATGTCATCGCTCAGTCCTTGGGCCCCTCCTGCCTTTATGGACTCTGTCCTCAGAGAACTCATCCCCTCCATAGGCTTCAACTACCATCTCTAACTGGCAGACCTCCACCTAATCTGCACCATACCCAGGCTCCTTTCTACATATCCTAGTATTGACTGGGTCAGGGAAGGACCTCTAACCTGGCTGGCCAGTGGCCACAGAAGCTCGCTCTCAACAACCTGAATGAGAGATGTTCTCAGCCAGCCAGCAGTCTTCAGAGAAAAGGCCATGCCGAGTCAGGACGGGGTGGGGAGATGCCCTGATAGATGTCCCCCTCACACACAGAACTTCCACACCCAACCCCACGGAGCTGAGAAACTGCCAAGGGCAGGGACTGTGGTGCCCTTGCTCCTCGTTGCCTAGGGTGTCAGGCAAAATGCCTTGCTGTTGTACTGACCTCCGCTAGTCATCTCGGATCCTTCTCTAGACTCCCAGGTCCAACTAATAGGCTAAATGCTGAAGCTTTGTGGTTCTCTCTTCTCTACCCACTCCTGCCACTGTCAGGCTCAGCCCTTCTCCCCCAGTCCACCTTGCATTTTTCCTTCTGCCTCCCTGACCCAATGTGGGAGGCAGAGGGTGACAGAGAGTGGAGTCTCAGCAATGGGAGGTACAACCTGCAGATCACACTCTCGGGTCACCATTGTGCACCGAGAGTGTTTCCATTTGCTATCGCTGAGATCAACGTTCCCAACAATGCCAAGTGAAGGTGTTAGATTTCAGGTTTATCAGTAGGGACGTGTTGTAAGAATTTGAGAAATATGAGTCAATAGGATAGTTCCAAACCTCCTTTCCCGATAGGCAACACTCTCTATCCTGGCTTAAATCTAGCAGAGGTATCCACCTCTCGACCCTGGAGCCCACTCTTCCTTAACAAAGAAGCAAGTTCATTTCCACACTTCTCCAAGCACACCTGTTCTTTGCTACCTTTGTCTTTGTGATTCTTCTCCTGACCCTGAGTGTCCCAAAGTGTACCTTTCCTGGACCAGCCCCCCTGCTCCAGCTCTCCCTGCCCTAGCTCCCCTTCCCCAGCTCTCCCTGCCTGGGTTTTTCCCTTTCCTGGCTCTCCGTGCCCTAGCTCCCCCTCCCCAGCTCCCCTGCCCTGGCTACCCATCCTAGCTACCCAGGGGTCTAACAGCTGACACTTCAAGGTTTACACTTTTCCCTAATTACCCAGGTGTAAATGAAGTTTTCTAAAGAGATAAGTTCTAAATAATTACTTACCAACTTGTCCAGGAAAGTTACCATGTCCTAAGAAAGAAAACACACACGCACAATCAGAGATTGTACCCACCCACCTCAGATGCTTCAAAATTCATTACTGTATTTGTCTTTGTCATGGACTGAATTGTCTCCCCCCAAATTCCTATGCTGAAGTCCTAACTCTCAGCACCTCAGATGTGTCTGCATTTGACACATGGTCTTTAAAGAGGTAAATGAGGTAAAATGAAGTCATCGAGGTGGGCCCTAACGCTGTATGACTGGTGCCCTGATGAGAAGAGATAAAGGCACAGACACGCACGGAGGAAAGCCCGTGGAGGACACAGGGAAAAAGCATCTGGCTACAAGTCAGGGAGAAAGGCCTCAGAGGAAACCCACTCTGCTGACACCTTGATCTCGGACTTCCATCCACTGGATCTGTGAGAAAATAATTTCTTTTTAAGTTTATTTATTTATTTCTCCCATGAGTGAGAGAGACAGAAAGACATATTGGGAGGCACCACCCCCAAGAGGAGGGTCTTGATGCCGCCATCCAGCCACAACCCCTACCAGTCTCAGATCACAAGCAAGTGCATGCCCAACTGTTTAGAGAGATCTCTGGATGTGAATCTAGAAACTTCCCACCTGACTGAAACTTGGAGAACATCATAGTTTACGCCTGTGTCATTTTCGGGCCCAAAGATATTTCTTTTGCTCAAGGCGCCTGGTCTATGGCACAGTTGTCCCTCAGTATCCACAGGGGACTGGGTCCAGGATATCCCACAGACTGACATCCATGGATGCGCAAGTCCCATATATAAAATGGCACAGTATTTGCACGACCTATGGGCATCCTACCAGTCCGTGGTCTTTTGCTACGGCAGTTGAGATGACCAAGACACCCACTAATGAAGAGTTGGGCTGACGATTTCCCAGAAATGCCGTGACATGTCCACCAAAGCAGGGAGCACATGACATTCTCAATGGGGGCCTGAGAATTACTGACCACCCAGGGTGAGATGGTTCCCAAGGCTCTAGGTCTCTATGGGGAAGGGGTGGACAGATCAGAGGGACCTCAGTCTCCTATCAGCAACAGATACAATTAAGGAGAAACATGGGAAAGGAAATCAATCCAGGAACCCCTTCACATACTCCTTCTAGGGACACCCTAATTTGTGGTTGAAAACCACTCTCTCAGCACCACTACAATTTACAACAACTCCTCCCTTTTCTTTCTTTTAACGGTGGGGTTTTAAAATCAACTTTCAAACAAAATTGAACACCTTCACTGTCCACTGAGTCCTCTTCTCTGCAATGTCTTCTCCCTTCTAGCTATGGAAGCAACTCAAAGCATGAGACTCTGCATTTCAGCAACGACCAGATGCTGCTTATAGACCATGGGAATCGAGGCTAATAACTCCAGGACAGCCAGGATCTTGTCCTGCCCTGTAGCCATCTAAAATGTCACCTTAGTAAGAAACAGTCAAATTCTCATAGTTCCTTGGAAGATCCTTAGTCCTGAGAAAATATTTTCCAGAAGGATAGGCCTGTATCACATTCTCAGGGGCCTAGCCATGCCAATATCTTTTGGAAAATTTGCTAAATGGGTTTTCTTGCACATTCAGGGAAGAAGAGTGAAATTGTGCCTGGGCATGTCATGGTCCCCTCCTTCTTCCAGTAAGAAGCATTTGCCTTTCCATTTCTTCCTTCCCAAATACCTGAGTCATCAACATGTAACTCAATATGCTCCTAAACCTATTCTATTGATCTACTCTGTAAAAATGTGCTCAGAGGGGCTAGCAGGTGATGTGGTGTGGTGGTTAAGGCACTAGATTCCCACATGGTTGACTGTGGTTTGAGTCCTGGACATGGCAGCTTGCTTTCTCACTTGCTCTCTCTGGTCAAACTAACAAAAAAAAATAATAAAAAAATAGTAAAAATTTAAAAAATGCTCTCAATTCTCTTGGGTAAAGACACAGTAGTGGATGTACTAATGATATTTTAAAGGTGGAGTAGGATGATAGGAGTATCATACCTTATGCCATGTTTGTTTCTGGTACAAGACTTCCTACAGGAAACCAGTTCTCTCAAGAGTCCCAATATTCCTGTCTCCAGAACAGATTTCCTCTGAAATCATCTGGGCCCAGGCTAGTGGTCAGCATTGAGACAGGGTCTTAGAAGGACTTCAGGAGAGACATGGGCAAGGTCAGAAGCAGCAGTTGCTCCAGAAGAGGCAAAGAAAGAGAAACTGGGGAAGAAAGAACAGCCCTGCTTGGAAAATGAACTTTCACCCACGTTCCACTTCCGAATTGCTGAAGCCAGCATGAGGGGTCCAGGGCTGCAAAAGCGAAAGGGGCTAGTGGGAGGAACTCGACACAGGGCTGTGACTCTAAAGAGATTTTTTGTAATTTATTTTTATCAGCAGTATCACCAGTTTCCTGGCCAATCAGGAAGCTATTTCTTCCTCTAGGCCCTCCAGCCTTGGATCTCCTCTGGAGCTGAATGGAGGTTTGAGGTGCAGTCTCTCTTCATCTCAGGTGCAGTCTCTCTTGACCTCCCCCTGCAAGCTCTAAGATGAGGGTCCCTTCTCCCTGATGGCACTGATGCCTGTCTTAGAATAGGACCTCTATTCAGCCACCAGTCCACCCACTAACTCCCTAGATCTGGCCAACAACATCTTTACTATAATTAAGTGATTTTTAAGATTTTTAAGGAAGAAGGGACAATGGAGTGAAGTAGGACAGGATTCAGATATGGTTCTACTAGCTGTTGACCTCAGATGATGACTTTAACTTCCTTGGGACTCAGCTGTCTCTTCTGTCAGATGCTTCGACAGGACCTGACACACAGTCAATACTTCATACAGGTATTTCTAACCATACCATCTCAACTTTCAGTAAGAATTTATACACAAATGCTATGAAATGCTGCTTTCTTAGGGTTTAAGTGGACACCCGAGCTTCTAGCTTTTATCCGTAAAAAGTTCCAGGACAGAAAAGATGTTACCCAGAGAGCCATCTTACCTTGCATAATATTTCCATGGCATATTCTTCTATTTCTGCAATTAAAAATGAAAGATCCATATTTCATTCACATCACTTGAATTATACCAACTGTGTTACAGGGCTCTTTGGAAAAACAAACAAAGCCCAAACTTCTTAAACACTTAGGTTGATGTAGTTCTTTCTGCTTGTTTATTTTTGCTGTTGTTGCTTGTGATTTTGGTGTCATATCCTTGAAATCACTGCCAGGATAAATGTCTAGAAGCTTTTCCCCTGTGCCTTCCTCTAGTAATTTTAGAGTCTCAGGTCTAGGCTTAAGTCTTTAATCCATTTTGAATTGATTTATGTGTATGAGATAGGATAAAGATCCAATAGCATTCTCCTGCATATTTTCCATTACCATTTGTTGAAGAAGACCATCCTTCCCATTGTGTATTCTTGGCACTCTTATCAAAGATCAATTGACTGTACAGATCCACTTCTGGGCTCTCCCTTTTGTTCTACTGGTCTATGTGTCTATCTTAATGTCTATATCATACTGTTTTAATTACTGTAGAGTTGCAATATAGCTTGAAATCAAGAAGTATAATTTCAAATGCCTCCAACTTCTCTCTTTCTCAAGATTAATTTGGCTATTCATGGTCTTTTGCGGTTCCATATGAATTGTAAAGGTGCTTTTTTCTATTTCTGTAAAATAAATCACTGGCATTTTGAAAGGTATTTTATTGCAGCTGTAGATTGCTATGGGTAGTTTAGTATTGATACTTTAACAATAATAGCAATTCCTGAAAGCGAAAGCAAAAGAAAAGACAGAAAATAAAGGGTGGGTAGGGGGTGAAGGAAATACTATCACAGAAGTAATGCAAGAAAAGCTTCAAGAACTGAAAGATAAATGTACCCAACAGAGTGGATTAAAAAAAAAAAGACCCACAGCAGAGCACAATATTATAAAATTTCAAAACACACAGACACAGGACACTGCAGGAGAGGGTAGGGGGTAAAGTCAGACTCATTTAAAGGGCTGTCTTCTCTGTCCTAGAAGCAGAAATGCACACTTGGGTTAAAGAACTCAGATACTCAGAAGGCATGACCAACACAGGACAGCTGCAAGACAGCTAACCCACCGGGGGGAGCAGATGAATCTCCATAGCCCTTCATGTCCACAGCTAGCACCCGGTAACCTGCCTGGGCCAGAGCAGGGATCTAGAAAACAAACAATTCAAGCACATTCCAGCATGGTCTTGCCAGTTCTTGACTGTCACTTCCTCTTTACTTCCCTCTATCCCCCTGTTCCTGTAAGTGGCACTGCCTAGTACCTCACTGTGGGGTACAGGGAACCCTTCTGGATAGGGCTGCCATGGACAGTGGTAAGGATTTGCACTGCATAAATGCCACATCTAAGAGAGCACCTTATCTAGCAAAGCCCATGTAGATTTCTACATTTATTGCCAGGCCTTCTCAGCAGGTGGCATAAAGGGCCTTGAAGAGGTGTGCCTTTTTACAACCTGTAAGCCCATGCTGTATGGCCCTGAGGTTTGGAGCCATCTATTGCCCCAACATTTCTGAGACATTATGGTCACACTTCGAAGGCGATGCTCCACTGTAAGGTTTTAGCATCTTCGTGGGATTCCAGGCTGGCCCATGCCATCTAACCCTTTCCTTCCCTCTCCCCAACTAGGGTACACCTTCCTCAGTTTCCCTTACCTGGTACCTCCAAGAGAACCAGCTCTCAGGAAATCCATGGCAGAGGCACACAACAGGGCCTGACCCCAGCTCCACAAAATGCAATTGGACTCCAGGCTGTGGGAGAAAGAGGAGAGATGGGGTGGCTGCAGTGTCAGGCTGGCTGGAGCCAGGGCCGTCCCGCAGACAGCAGAATCATTTCAGTTGGATCTCACATGGCACAGCTTTCTCAGGTAAAAGACTGCAATGTTAGAGGAGGAGGTCTGAGAAGAGATGCTAGCCAAACCGTGCAACGAAAACAGGCAGGTAGCTGGGGGAGGGGGAGGGGAAGGGAAGCAAGGAGAAAAACAGAGAGGCCGGACCGCTGGGGGACACGGAAGTGGAAGACTGTTGACGACAGCGTGTATGGTATCTGTAACTGGAGTGGTGTGCAGTGTGTTCATGCTGGGAAATTCACTTCGCAAGCTGTGTTGATGTAGAGTGATTAAATGTGCAAAATAAATTTTAAAAATTTAATTGTAACTTATACATTCTAAATTTTTTCATTGGTTAGTAAATTGTTAGACTAAATATTTTTACCCAGTTAACAATCTAGTTGTTTTCTGGGTGCTCTTATGTTTCAATGTTGTGATGTTTTTATACTGTGTAATTTTTAACTTGCGTTAACTTTTTAAATATATTTTTACATGATAGTATTAAATAATCCCCAAATGGTAGTGTTTTATTTCTAATTAAAATCTGTTTTTTTTTTTTCCATTTTGGCCAAACAAACAAACAAAACAGGTAGATTTCATCATTACATAAGCTTGAAAAATAAAAATGTTGGAAAAAAAAAAAAAAACCAAACAAACAAAAAAAGAAGACAATTTTGATTTCCTCTCTAAACCATCCTCACACTGTTAAGAGTTCCTTGTGCAGAGGCCAGCAGGTGGCGTGGTGGTTAAAGCGCTGGACTCCCACAGGACAACTGTGGTTCAAGTCCTGAACCTGGCAGCTTGCTTTCTCACTTTCTTTCTCTCTCTCTCTGGTGAGCACACAGGCCCTATAGCAAATCAAAAACTAATAATAAATAAAATGTTAAAAGAAAAAGAGTTTCTAGTATTATTATGATGTGTTTTCAATATTTTTAACTGGGGACTGATTTTGTATAGAGCATAAGATCCATGATAACGTGTGGAACACCATGAGTGTTTCGTTAAAGCTGTTTGTTTCTCAGGGGCTGAACAATCGTGCAGTGGTAAAATGTGATACTCTCTGAGGCTGACCTACGTGGGCAGGTTCTGGATTTGTCTCCAGACACCTTCCTGAGTATACGGGCACACACATGCAGATGCTGGCTGAGGCTGGGAGTAGAAGCTTTGTCAAGACCTTATTGGAGCTGCTACTTCCCTCTCTCTTGCTCATGTAAAAAAAATACCCTCCCTCCCTTTTAAAGCTGTTTATTTCTTAACCTTTGCTACAGTTGTAATCCTTTCAGGAGCTCAGTGGGTATGGTAGACTGCTGGAACTCTGGGCTCTCCTCTTCCTAGCACAAAGAGGCACCTTCCAGACCATTCCCCGCCATCTCCTTATAGGTGATATGCCCTGTGACTGAGTTCTGGCTGATTGTTTATGAGTGGAAGAAATGTGTGCTCCACTCAGAACCTATATAAGCCTCCTCCACTCGGTCCTCCCTTTCCTTTCCCCACCTGAATGGACTGGGCCTTAAGGAAGCGGGAGGCAGACAGAGATGGGGCCTGGATGCCTGAGTGACTGTGTGGAAAGGACTCACCTGCATGGCACTGTACTGCAGGTGAGAAACACACTGCAGGAGCCAGACTGTTGTAGCAGTGAGCCTACAGTGGGATCCAAGCAAACGAACTCAAACAATGTATACTCCAAGTGCACTGTTTGCCCCCAACATTCCCTCAACATTCTAATGGAAATGCATGACAAAAATCAGAGTCTCATTGTAGACATTCCCATGGAAAAATTCCACTTGGCTGTATCTCAGACTTCAAAATGTTCTACATTGTTGTCTTACACAGGAAGTTTCACTTGTGATTTTTTTTTCTTTTTCTTTTTCTGTTTTTTTTATTTTTTTTTCTCCCCCCTCTCTATTGGGCATGTGTGCTGACCAGAAAGAGAGAGACAGAGGTAAAAGTGAGAAATCACTTCCTGGGGGTGGCCACACCACAATCCTTTCTTCTCCAGTTTCCTCTTGGGATTTTGGGCATGCACACACATGCACCTAGTGTGTTCTTTAAGGCGCCGGGTCTGGGATACACATGGCACAGTCAGCCATGTGGGCTGTAGCTGCCTTAATCTCCACACCATCTGCTGGCCTCACTTGTGATTTGTATGTTAATTTGCTCAAGAAAACATTAGGTGGGCATTTCGCAAACGCTTTCATGAACTGCAACCTGTTGATCAGACTAGTTCCATAGTCTTTCCTTTGGCACTTGGCAGAATTTAATTCTCAATTCTAGACTCTATATTAAATAATATTTTGTAATCTGTTAAAAAATATTAGTGTTTATGCCTCAGCAAATTATCCTAATTTGCCTCTCTTCTAACGTGGATCCCAACTAAAAGTCTTGCTCTTGATATTGCATATTTGACTTGCTGAGTAGCTTGGCAAACACATGAATTTTCCCACCCTCTTTATTTTTTTTTAAATATTTATTTTATTTATTTATTTATTATTATTATTATTTTAATGTGCTATAGGACACACGTGCTCACCAGAGAGAGAAAGCAAGCTGCCAGGTCCAGGACTTGAACCGCAGCTGGCGATGTGGTTGTTGGTTCCAGCCTCACAGGGCCCACTCAGAGCACTTCTAGGCACAGATACCCCCAAGCGGGAACTTCACCCTGTGACCTGATTCTGCCACCACAGGGCTGTGAATGCACATCTCATTAGACTGTAAAGCCTCTGGGCGCATGGCAGACACTCCATCCATCTCAGTATTTCTCTCTGTGCCAGGCAAACAGCAAATGCTTAAAAAATGTCTGTGAGGTCATCCTCCAGGGTAGCAAATCTCCCCACAGCCCCCAGCATCAGCACAGCTCAAGCCACCAGGCCTCCCATTCTTCAGCTACTGTTTACAGTGCACATAGGTGCTGGGTACTGTGCCCTGTGGTCTGGGGGTGGTGTTTCATTTAATCCTTACAGAATCCTTGTGGGGAGGTTTTATCATCGCCTCATCATAAAGCTTTGGATGGTGAGGCTATTGCGCCCAAAGGTGTGGTATTAGTGTGGGCAAAGCCAGGGTTCAAACTGGGTCTTTCTGGCTCCAGAGCAACCATCTGGCCTTACTTTGCTCCTGAGCTGACCCACACATCAGGTTCCTTCCCATTTAAATGGGAACAATGACAAGAAAGGTCCTGAGCCAACCAGTGGCGGGATGGTTAAGGAGACTGAATCCCACATGGCAGTCCTAGACCTGGCAGCTTAAAAAAAATGCCAGGCATGAGTGCATGCATGCCCAAAATCCCAAAAGGAGAAATGCAGGAGAAGGAATTGCAGCACAACCATCCCCCATGGAGAATGCTTTCTCTCATTTCCCCCTTCTCTCTCCATCGTTGTGCCTCTCTGACAAGCACATGTGACCTCCGGGAAATTTAAAAAGAAAGAAAAATCCCAAAGTGAGCCTATGAAGGTGTTCTAAAGCCCTGCTCTGTATCAGCAGGTTTGGTTGGATCTGCTGGTCAGGTCAGGAGTCAAGCCCCTTCTACACATGGCCTTGGCCTTGGCTTTGCCCTAGTCCTGGACTCTGGGCATCGTAATGATCTTTCCCTTTTCTTTATCCTCCAGGCGGGTTCTCTGAGAACAGGTCTTTCTTATTCATCACGATATCCCTTGTTCCCAGCCTGAGATAGTGAATGAAAAATGTCCTGCCAAAAACCAGACCAGATACGCACATGCTTCAGTACCCCTGCCACCCAAGGCACCGTGGCCTGCTGTTCCGTGGGATGTGACCACATCAGTCACTCTGCTGTGTATAAGCTGAGGCAGGGTCCATGTCTTCTATCAATTTTTGAGGAATAAGACTTGTGGGGAATGCCATTTCTATGTAAATGGTAGGTATTCAACTATCCTTGATATTTAACAAATGTCTCTGCTGGTCACTTTAGGTGACTTGGTGAGGGAAAGCACTTACTTACCTTTATGGTCACATATCCGTGGCTCAGGTCACTTGGATTGCAGGAGGCTGGCAGAGGGGCTGCAGTATTGCAGAGCTGAAAATATGAAAAGCACAATGAGAGAGACCACCACAGCCCCCTGCCATGAGAAGTCCTTATGCAAGTTTACAAAACTCCAGAGTGCCTGTGTCAGGTGAGACCTGAGGGTCCCCTTTGACACCCCCTCCAGGGTCTACTGGCAACCCACCCTACCTCCCTCTCCTCTTGGGCACACAGGTAGACTCCACTTCCTCCTCTTCCTTCCCAAAGGTGCAACCTAAGAAAGAAGTGGCTCCTCTTGGTTACCCAGATGTCTGATATTTAAAATGGGAAAGTAAGCTATGACATCCGTCTCTCTTCTAAAGATGGGAGGGTCCGCCTGGGTGTCCTCAGAAGGGGAAGCAGAAGGTGAGTCCCCTTACCTGGCTGGCATTTGGAGAGGACACAGGGCGGGGGGTAAGGACTCAGCATGACAGGGGAGAAGGGGCACCATGGTGCCTCCTGATGGGGATAAGCCTCGTCTGGTCAGAAGGAGCCAAGGCAATGGACCGAGGGCCAGTGTCCCTTGGGGCTCCTCCCTGATGTGTCCCAAGCTTCCTCGGTCACACATCAGGGAAGGTCTCACTGCCCGCAAGTGTGGGGAGTGGTAGACTTCCTGCTGTAATGAGCCTCTCAAGTGTCACACAATGTACAAAGCCTGTTGGTGCCTGGGTCCCACAGCCTTCCTGTGAGGAATACTCACATTCCCCTCTGCTCACAACAGGGTGAATTTTCTGTGGGGATGTAAAAAGGTATAGCACCTATGGAAAATCGTGTGGAGGTTCCTCAAAAAATTAAAACTTGAATTATTATATGATCCATCAATTCCACTTCTGGGTATAAACTCAAGAAATTTACAAGTAGAAACACAAACAGCTATTTGTACACCTATATTCATAGCAGCATTATTTATTTGTGATAGTGAATCGACAGTGAATAGATGAGCAAAATATGTTCTATACATAGAAGGGAATAGTATCCAGCCTTGAAAAGATAGGAAATTCTGACACATGCTAACACAGAGGAACCTTGAGGATATCCTGAGTGAACTAAGCCAGTCATAAGTGGACTAATACTTATATGAAACACCTACAATAGTCAGATTCATAGAAATAGAAGGTAGATCAGGGGATGCCAGGGTCTGTAGGGAGGGAGAATGAGAAGCTGGAGCATAGTGGGTGCAGGGTTTCCATTTTGTAAAAGAGAGTTTTGGACCTGGATCAATGGTGACGATGTGGCATAGCAAATTGAATGTACTTAATGTCGCCAAAGTGTACACTTCAAAATGGTTAAGACGGTAAGATTAATGTTATGCATACCTTCACAATAAAAGAAATTGGGGAAAATAGGAGTGATTTTCATTTTTCTTTAAATCTTCCCCTTACTTCTGAGAAAAGAAGTAAGATGTGGTTTACTGTCCCAGTTTTACAGGACAGGAATCTGTGGCTCAGATGTGACAAGGGGACAGACCTAGCAAGTGCCTCAGCACGTGGGTGCTCTAGTCCCTCATCTGACATGTTCTTCTCTCTACTCTGACTACTCTGGGAATCTCCTATCAGTGGAATCACATAGCAGTCATCTTTTCGTGACTTATTTATTTTACTTAACATGATGTTCTCAAGGTTCATCTTCAGGGAGATTCCCAAGCTTGCAGAAGGACAGGTCAAGCTAGGGCAAGAAGTTCTAAGGTTGCAATGTTGTCAGGGTGCATTTTTTTTTATTTTTTGGAGAGATTTTCACTGTAGGGCGTGTGCGCTCGCCAGACAGACAGAGACATAGAGACAGAAAGCGAGAAATCACCCCCCAGGGGGGATGGTCACGCCGCAATCCCTTCTCCTCCATTCTCCTCTCGGGATCTTGGGCACGCACGCACACGTGCCCGGCGTGAGTTTTAAGCCACCGGGTCCGGGACGTGAACCGCGGTCGACTACGTGGGAGTCCAGCGACATAGCCATTACGCTAACTGCTGGTTCCCTCAGGGTGCATTTTTGTTTATTGATTAAAGATGAAAAATAAGTAATTCCAATTGTTGGCTGAATTGTGTTCACCTAAACTGCTATGTTGAGCCCTGACCCAAAATGTCTCAGAAAGTGATTGCCTTTAAAGAGGTGATTAAGGCAAAATGAGGTTGTGTGGGTGAGATCCAATCCAGCATGACTAGAGTCCTCAAAAGAGGAGGAGACACGCATGGAGAGAAGGCACAGTGAGAAGTAGCTGTCGGCAAGTCAAGGAGAGAGGCCTCAGGAGAAACCAACCTTGCTGATACCTTGTTCTTGCACTTCCAGCCTCCTGGATAATAGATGGCTACTGCTGAAGCCACCCAGGCTGTGTTTTGTTGTTGTTGTTATGGCAGCCCTAGCTGACGAATACAGCCACCTCTGAGGAAATGGTCATGAAGCCTCAGACTTCTGGCAGCCCAGTCAAGTGTGCGAGTCCCTCCTATCTCCCCTCCTGCCTCCCCTCTTGCCTCCCCACCCCTATGCTGGTTGGAATCAGGACACTGCACTACTACAGAAGGCTTGAGCGAGTCTGCCCCAGGGAGTCGGGGGAATCAGTGATCTGAGGTCAACCTGGAAGAACAAAGGTGCCTCAGATAGGGCAGAGCTGCTAGTCCCCAGGTAACCCCCAGGGACATCATCAAAGAGGTCCATCCTCCTCTGGGAGAAACAGGTTTTATTTGAGAGGTTTCCCTCTGACTTCCAGGAGTGTGTGAACCAGGCAGAATTAAACCAGGTAGATGTACACCAGTGAGTGCTGGTGGCATGCCCAGGTGGACAGGAAGAAATTTGCACCCAGAGTAAAGCTTCTCAACATCCACCCCAGGGAGCGAGGGCAGGTGGCTGCGCATGGTCCACTCTGGTCTTGGTTCCCCCAGCTCTGGCACCAAAACCAGTATAAATTCTTGTTCTCAGAGTGTGTGTTTCCCGGTTCTACTGCAGAGAAAGAAACAGTATGATCTTTGTTTTGTTTTTAAGAGATTTTTTGCTATAGGGCACATGTGCTAGCCAGAAAGACAGAGAAAGACAGACAGAAAGCGAGAAATCACCTCCAGAGGAGATGGCCATGCCACATTCCCTTATCCATTCTCCTCTCAGGACCTTGGGCACACATGCACACACACCCAGTATGAGTTTCTGACTGCAGGCAGTTTTGAGAATCATGTAGAGCAGTAAGACCATGGGTTCTCCTCTCTTTCTCTCACGTGCATAAAGCAGAGACAAGTGGCAGGAAGCCTAACTTGGATTAGATGGAACATTACCTCTATCCCAGTTACTTTCTCCAGTTCTCTGAGGGCCATGTCTGTGTCGTGGACAAGGATGGTGACTATTCCCAAGTCACGGGCTGGCTTCAGATAAGCTCCGGTGTTATCTAAGTAAACAACCTAAACCCAAAACAGCACAGATACCACTGTCACATCAATTGAAGAAAAAGTCTTGCATGAGAGGGAGCACCAGAAAGAATCACATTAAACTGCAAACAGGGGGCTGGTAGGAAATCAACTGGATGCCAGTGGGGTGAGGCTGGGAGTAGGGGGACCCTACACTATTCAGAACTAATTTTACCTTATACCTTATCAGCGTTCCATACAATATTATTTATTTTCAACTAAAAATAAGCTCTATGAGGGGCAGGGAGGTGTGTCTACGTGTGCACTACTTCTGTTTGGTGCTGAGAACTGAACCTGAGAGTAGGCAATGGACGCTATTTTTAAAAAATAAGCAGCTGGATTTCAAAAAAAGAAAAAAAGAAAGAAAAAAATAGGCAAATGGCTTATTTTATGAGGAGGAGATTAAAAGTTCTTTTAGTCAAATGTAACCATTTGTTCTTCAATTTAAAAGCATTTAATTACACAAGCATACACATGAACACATTTAACAAATATGGCTCCACAGAAATCAAGTGTTTCAGCCCACATTGAAACTGTAACATGATGATGGGAGAGGGGAGGATATAAACTTGTCAGGATCACATTACGATTCTCCTGGGAAAATCAACACGTATGAATAAGACCAAGAAAAGGTCTGGAAAAGAACTGTAACGAGGGCAGATGACAAAACAAATTATGAAGCTACAAAAAGCAGGAGAGTTTTGTACCAGAAAAGAAATAGACAAACTTATGAAATAGAAGAATGTAGAAATACACCCAAATATGGTGGGGAGTCCTTCAAAAAGTTCATGGAAAATATGTATTACCACAAACTATTCATGAATTTCAAAATGTTTTAGCATTAAAATAAACTCACGCTTTAATTTCATTTCCCCACAAACTCCATGAAGTCCCCGAATTCAAATGAGAATTCACTTTCTAATGAAGGTATCATGTCTGACTGGTAAGGAAGATGATGTAATGCCATTGCTATGACTGGTTAATGGGGAAAAAATGGATTCTTATTGACTTCTTACTCTAAAATAACTTAGAACACATAGGGAGCAATGTTCACTCGTTGAAATATCCATTTTGTAAGACAAATGATAATGTGAATGAATGTATAAAAGAAAATGAGATTTAAAAAAAAGAAAGAAAAAGAAAATCTAAAAATAAATAAATAAATAAATAAATAAAGGGAAAAAAGACCCTACAAGTTATAGAAGAAAAGCATGGTGAATTTATTTCTCATCTTGGACAAGGGCAATCTAGAATTCTAAGCAGCTCATCCAACCCTAAAGCACAAATGTTCAAGCCTGGTATATTCCTGGGCATACTTCACTTGGGAGCACTGCTCTAAGGCTGGCTCCAGGTGCAAAGCCAGAAGGACAGAGCCGAGTCCCAGAGGAGAAAGGGATGGACCCTGGGATGGAGCATGGTGAAGATTCCCAAGGATGGGGTTCAGGGTTGGTTCCAAGAGCTTGGAGAGACGTGGGATAGAGTAAAGGGTGGGAAAGTGAGCGAAAGGAATTTAACCTTGGTCTGATCACCTTTTGAAGACTGGAGTATGGGAACACAATGAAAATCACTTTAGGAGAGTAAACTCTGGAGATAAAATGAAAACGGGTTTTGGGGCACATGGGTGCCCTATTAAGAAACTGGCAACTTGCAGCCCATCCTGGCTCATCCTTTGGTGGGGTGACCCTGACCAGCCTTGTGGCCTTGGGAAAATCTCCCAGGATCACCATTTCTTCATGGGTAAACTGATGCAGTAGGTCTGACACTTTTGATGATGTCTATTTTGATCAGAGTTCTATAAGACCCACAAAAAGGGGCCAGATGCTCACCTAGGGTAGAACTTTTGAGACCAAAGTATGGGTTAGGAAAGCACTGGCCTGAGAAAAGTTGATTATGAGCTCTCCTGCCAGTCCTCACCTACTCACGGCTCAGTTTTCCTTCAGTTGAATGTCTCTGGCTCATTCTTCTCCCCTGAAAGGATGCATCTACTTACCTCATTGGGGCTGGCCTTCAGGGTGTCCAACATGAACTTGTAGACCTGAGGCTCAGGCTTAGCCATTCCAATCTGACATGACTCTATCAGGAAGTCAAAGTGTGGTCTCAGCTCACACATCAGCTGGGCGAGGCTGCCCCTCTCAGCACTGTCATCCATCCAGTTGTTGGTGAGGATGCAGGTTGTAAATCCTGATGAGAAATCAACAGTGAATGGACAACTGCAGAACTGTGCCCTGAGATACTTGGTCCAAGCGGGGTTCTGCTAACTTAGATCAACCTCCTTATGCCCAGCTTTCATCTGACAAGTTGGAAAAAGTCCATCTCTATCCACAAGCATCTCTCAATAAGACATGAGAGAAGGCTGTGAGCAGTGAGAGCTTTCAGAAGTCCAAGTAGAGAGGGTCCAGCAGTTAGTGTAATGGCTATGTTGCTGGACTCCCATGTAGTCTATTGCGGTTCGCGGCCCAGACCCGGTGGCTTAAAACTCATGCTGGGCATGTGTGCGTGCATGCCCAAGATCCCGAGAGAATGGAGAAGGGATTGTGGCATGGCCATCCCCCCTGGGGGGTGATTTCTCGCTTTCTATCTCTCTGTCTCTCTCTGTCTGTCTGGTGAGCACACGCGCCCTATAGCAAAAACCTCTCCAAAAAAAAAAAAGAAAGAAATTTAAAAAAAAAAGAAGTCCAGGTAGAGAGAGACACAACAATCCCGTAATCCCTGCAACTGTAGAGCCGTGTGGTCACATTCATCAGCTCATTTGAGCCTCCCCATCTTTGGAGTAGGCAGGGCAGATCTCACTATCTTGTATTTTCAGACAAGCAAACTAAAACACACAAATTAATAACTGCCCAGAGCCACACCATGAAGATCCAATGTTCCTTCTATGTTACTGCAAACTCAGTTCAACTCTATTTCAAAACACCTGCTTTAGCTATCAGGGACTGTGCTTCCACTTCAGATTTAGAGTAATGTAAATAGAGATAGCATGGCTTTATCTTTCTAGCCAGGGAGGGTGAGAACCAAGGCAATGCTGGAAATGAGACATGAATGTCACTTCTAGACGTTTATCATGTAATAAGAGGCAAGAACTATGGACACTGGATGGCTTTCCCAGAATGGTGTAAGTGTACTGATGATGGCAGGATGGAATGGTTTCAAGTATGCCTAGAAAGAAAAGCCGGGCACTGAAAGGAAATAACTACCTATTGGACAAACATGATTTCATGTCTTGGACCATCTGACATAATCTAAGCCTGCATTGGCCAGCTCACAGCTCAGCCACTCTGATACTCAAAGGCAAAGAAAAATCATAGTTTTCTAAATGCCTTTTTTAGAAAAAGTATTTATTTTCTTTATAAGTATTATTTTTTACTTTGCTGTAGGGCACACACACTCAACAGAGAGAGAGAGAGAGAGAAAATGAGAAAGTAAGCTGCCAGGTTCGGGACTCAAACCATGATTCGTCATGAGGGAGTCCAGCACCTCAACCACCACACCACCTGCTGGTCCCCATAAAGGCCTTGCTTTTGAATCACTGTCTCAAGAAGTCACACCATTTGAGTCATCAAGAGAGAATTTTACTCCCAAAGCAGTCACTGGTATAAATCTCTTTATTATTGGGTTGTTGAAAAACTTACGACATATTTTTTTCTGTGTTTTTCTAAGCAAAAATGCATCATGACTTTTCCGACAACCCAACAGATAAATTTTGTCATTTTCCCAACTAATGCTAATAGCATTGTCTCTTGCCATTTGATAAAACTTACTTTAGGGCCTTATCTTAAAAAATAAACAAAACAAAACTTCTTTTCATGAGAGTGAGAGACAGAGAAAGACAGACGGAGAGAAAGACAAGCACTTTTAACAAGGTCTTATGTTGCGACGCCTCCCCTCCCCAAATCCCGAGCCCTCCCAGCCATCCAGCCTCATCATGAGCATATCTAGCATGTACACGTGGCTCAGGGAACCTCTGATCTTCCTTCTTCATCCAGCATCTCTCGGGCAGCAGCACACTACTTCTGCACCAGCCGGCCATGGGCCTATGTTTTAAGAATGGTTTTCCATCAAGGCCCAGAAGATCCGTGATCACAAAATGCACTTGAGGATTCTGGTATGGTCAACCAAAGAATGGCCAGTAGCTGGCCCTTACCCTTCTTTTTGAGAGTGAGAGCTGCCTGAAGCATGGGGTGGTTGATCTTTCTTGCTGCAACTGCCTTGGCAAAGATTTGATTTATAGAGAAATTCTCAGGAAGGCGTATTCCAGAGGCCTCGGAGGCTTTTCTGCAGTCTTCTTCCATGAGTGGTACCCACTGTGAAAGGCAAATGATGGGGGGCTGTCAACTGATACAGTCATTCCCCAAAGCTTTGACAATATTTATTAAACCTGAACACACATATCCCCTGTGACCTTGCCAAGTGTCCAGTCCTGGACATATGTCCACTGGACCTATCGGCATATGGCCTCTAAAAGACAGGGACAAAATGTGTTCCTAGCTGCACTGTCCATGAGTTCCAAACTAGAAAAACTACTCAAACACCCTCTAACGCAGCATGGACAGACTGGTCTATTTCAAACCATCACAGCAGTGCTATTCCTAAGAGCTCTGTTGGTCTGGGCTGCTACTACAAAATACCAAAGGTTGGGTAGTTCATAAAAACATTAAAAAGTAGAAGATTCATTTCTTATAGCTTTGGAGGCTGGGAAGCCCACGATCAAGGCACTAGTAGATGCAGAGTCTGGTGAGGGTTCATTTCCAGGTTCAGATGATGACTTCTCACTGTCCTCCTGCGGAGAAAGGGTGAGGAAGATCTCTGGGGTCTCTTTTATAAGGTCATCATGATAGTTCATTTTAGGCATCAGCCTGACTGAATTAGAGAATATCTGGAAAATTAATAAAGCGTTACTTCTGAATGTCTCTGTGAGATTTCCAGACTGGTGTGTGAGCTAGTGAACTGAGTAGAAAAGGTTCATCCTCAATCAACTGGAGGCATCGGCAGAGAGAAAAAAGAGAGAAAGTGATTTTCTCCTTCTCTTTCCTGAGGCTGGAGCCCACTCCCCCTTGTGCCCTGGAACACCTGAACTCCAGGTTCCCTAAAACTTTCCAGCTTCTAGAATGGTGAGAAATAAATGTCCGTTGTTTATGTCACCTGGTCTGTGGTATCTTTGTATAACAGCTAGAGGTGACTAAGACATAGCCCTAGCAAACAAACTCACTAATAGAACAGATTATGGTATGTGGTGTGTGTATGAGTGTGTATGTGTGTGTGTGTGTATATATAAAACCACAGAAGCACTGTTTGTACTCTTCAGTCCCAAACTGAAAAGTACCCAAACACTCATCAATAGCAGAATGGATAAACAGATGGGAGTATAGTCTCGCAGTGGAGTACCATGCAGCAATGACGATGAACTCATGTACAGCTGCATCCAATAACATTTATGAATCTTATACGTACAATGTTGAACTAAAGATGTTAGACATTAAATTCATCTGCACAATCCCATTTACAGAAAGTACAAAACAGGCAGAAGTGATGTCGTAGGTAGAGGTCAGGATGGTAGTTAATCTTTGAGAAGTGTCCAGAGAGGGCATACGTAGGATACATGTGGTGTTGGCAATATTTATTTCGAGGAGAAGTGTCCAGAGAGGGCATACATAGGATACATGTGGTGTTGGCAATATTTATTTTTTTGATCTAGGTGCTGGTGACAGGAATACATTCAGTTTGTAAGAATTCATCAAGCGGGGGCCAGCAAGTGGCATGGTGATTAAGGCACTGGAGTCCCACACAGTCAACCACAGTTCGAGTCCTGGACCTGGAGTCTTGCTTTCTCACTTTCTCCCTCTCTCTCTCTCTCTTTCTCTCTCTGATGTGTGTATGTGCCCTATAGAGAATTTAAATAATAATAATAAATAAAATTAATAAATAATTTTTTAAAAAAATTCATCAAGCTTTCCACTATATGTATGTTTCTGTCTATATGTCTATATTGCATACATAATGAAAAATTGACATGCATTCCTAAGATACGATTTTTTAAAAGACAAACCAAACCTAACTAGCCTTTATCCTGGAATTATTTGGTTTTTAAGACTTCTTCCTTTAGCCATGCAGGTTTCTTGGGAGCTACACACAGACTATCAGAAACTAAAGGAATCTGAATGGGATGCAAAGTTTTATAGCAATAACTAGAAATTCACTCGATAGTTCCCATGTTCACTGAAAATAATATAGCACTTCTCTCTTTCCTTATGTTCTAACAATATTACTTCAGCTTTTTTTATTGATTGATGTTTCTTCGTTTCTTCCCAACGGTATCTTCACAGTCTTCACCCAACAGCTACCATGGTGTGTGTGTGTGTGTGTGTGTGTGTGTGTGTGTGTGTGTATGTGGATTTGTGTGAGTTTTTAAGTGACTGCAACACTCCCCACACTAATACCACACTTGCCTTTACAGAAAAGGTAGAGTTTTGCTTTCTATCATGCTAGACCTCACGTTCTCTGACAGAGTGATGCGTCACTGTAATTCACAAAAAATGTTTAAATATAGAATGTCTTATCTATATGCTTATAAAATAGATCCTCAATAGTTTTTCTCCTTAGGAGAGACACTAGTTAAAAATTCAATTAATTTTAGATTCTGATTAAAAAGTATTTGAGGGGCCAGTAGATGGCATAGTGGTCACGTCACTGGACTCCCGTTTAGATTCTGATTAAAAAGCCATTGAGGGGGCCAGTAGATGGCATAGTGGTCACATCACTGGACTCCCACATGGCCGAACATGATTTAAGTCCCTGACCCGGTGCCTTGAAAATCATGCCAGGCATATATGCGTGCGTGCTCATGATCCCAGGAGGAGAAGGGATTGTACCCCCAGTTGGGGGGGACAGTGATTTCTTACTTTCTCACTGTCTCTGTCTCTCCCTAGGCAATAACCTCAAAAAAAATTGAAGTTATGGTGATTAACAATAACTACTTTTTTTTTGTTCTAATTTGCTACAGGACACGTGTGCTCGCAGCAGAGATAAAGAGATACAGAGAGAGAGAGAGAGAAAGTGAGAAAGCATTCCCCAGGGGAAATGGCCACACCACAATCCCTTCTCCTCCATTTTCTCTCAGGATTTTTGGGCATACATGCAAACAGGTCCAGTGTGTTTTTCAAGCTGCTGATTCCAGGACTCAAACCACAAAGCTGGCCATGTATGACCCAGTGCCTTAAACTCCACACCACCTGCTGGGTCTCCTACTTAATATTTTAACAATAACAGTCAATATAATCATGTCCCACACATGAATGTCTAGGGGGCATACTCAAACCATTGCAGTCTTCAAGGCCTTCCAGGTCAGTCTCATGCCCCAAGTGCTATAAGGGGTAAGTGGGTGAAGAAGATATGACCTTGCCCTTTGGGGGTTTACAATGTCAGGCATAGGGGTGCCTACCCCAGGGGGTCTGTGTGTTATCTGCTTACCTGGGAAAATGTGATCTGTCCCCTCATGAGGCGGCCACTGGATCCATCTGGGCCTCCTTTCCAGAAAGCTTCACTCAGAAAGTCTCTGGAAGACACAAAGAAACAAGAACATCATAAACACGACAACTTCATGGTGGCAGCATTATGAGACAGATGCTATTTACACTGACTGACAAACTTCTATTAGAAAGGCATTCTGCAGGATCAGCAGGTGGCGTGGTGGTAAGGGGCACTGGATTCCCACATGATTGATTATGGTTCAAGTCCGGGACCTGGCAGCTTGCTTTCTCACTTTCTCTCTCTTTCTGTCCCTCTCTGGTCAAATTAAAATAAATAAAGATATATAAAAAATTCTTAAAAAAAAAAAAAAAAAAGAAAAGAAGGTCATTCTGCTGTGGGGCTGGCTGGATTTTACATGGACAACCAGGGTTTGAGTTCTGGCCCTTACAGCTAGAAACACAAGGGCCCAGGGATCAGATGGGATGGAGAACTGGAGGAAAAAGGACTGCAGCATGACTAGGCCCGTTTGGTAGGGTTCTCTCTCTCTTTCTCATGCACGCATACATACCTCTGGCATTTAAAAGAAAGAAAGACATGCTGCCAAGGACTGGAAAATCCAAAGTTCAAGTTGGGATCTTTGCCCACAAGGAGCCTCAGGGGAGGACCTGAGACCATAAACTAAATGATAAATGTGTCTGTAGGAGAAGTGGCTCACAAAACCACCTAGTGGACACTCTTCAGCCAGAAGTGCTTCCCTCTCTCTCAACAACGGGATGGAATAAAGACTACATATGTGGTCATTGCTGTCTTCAGCTCATTTGCACAAGGCATCAGCCCAAAGAAGTCTTCTATCAGTTCACAGTCTTCAAAAAAATTTTTTTTCTGGTTTTGATTCTGCACATATAGTTTCTACTTTATCTTAATCTCATCTTTTATTATCTTTTAAACTTTTCTATGTTAAGAGTTAAACTGCCCCCTGCCCCACCCCTGTTGCAATCCCTACCTCTAACCCCAGAATGGGACTGTACTTGGAAATACAATCTTTATTATGTTGCTTATGTTAACTGAGGTCATTAGGGTAATCCCTAATGCAGTGTCCTTTTAAGAGGAAATCTGGACAGACACATAGAGAAGGAAGACCACGTGAAGATATAGAGAGAAGACATCTGTCTTTCTGAAAGCCAAGGACAGGTCTCAGAAGGCGCCAACCCTGTTGATACCTAATATTAGATTCGCAGCCTCTAAAACGGTGAAATAGATTTCTCTTGTTTAAGCCATCCAGTTTCTGTTATTTATTACAGCAGTTCTAATAAATGTACCTTGGCTCCTATTGACTGGAATTGGCAAGCCAGTTGAAATGATTTACCATTCCTGACTAAGAGAACAAATACCTTCAACCTGGGATTTTCATTTCTTTTAACAGTCAAATACCTTCCATTACATGAACCCTGAGCAAAATACAAAAGACCTATCTAATATTTGTGTCCTTGCTCAACTTTCTGGTATCAGAAACAGCTGTGTCACAGCCTTGCCATCATTTGCCTTTAATGGCTTTATCAAAGTGTAATTACATGTCATCCAAGTCACATGTTTTAAGGGTATGAGTCAGTGATTTGTAGGAAGTTTAGAGTTGAGCAAATATCTCCACATTCCAGTTTTAGAACATTTTCATCCCTTCGAAAAGACCAGTTTGAAGAAGCAATATACAATTTAACTTGGCAAGCTTTTACTGGGCCCCTAAGGCGTGCAAGACATTGTGCTATAAACTATGATATAAAAATGGAAAAAAAATATTATTGTATTCTTAGGGAGCTCACAGAAGAACAAAGGAGGTGATGTACAAATGAACAATTGGGCCAAGCATGGTGGTGTGAAGGGAATACAACACTGTGCAATGCTGAGGCCACATGGGAAGGTTCCAGGTTCATGCCCTAGGTCTTTCTGTACACATTGGACATCTCCATATGTGCCTATGATCCTGGATGACTAAGGCTAGGGGTGCACTCTAACATGAAGACCCTGTTGGATGTGCCACTTTCTCTCTCTGTCTTGGAAGAAATGAATGAATCAACAGACAAATAAAAACCCAAAACAAATAATTCTAACACTTCAGATGAGTAACAAACAAAAACAAAGGAAAAAATTATTTTTCCTGCCTGGAAAATGGGAGCTGAAAAAAGAAGAGGAACTGGAAGAAGAATATAACTATAGAGGAGGGAGGCATTGGTGAGTCTATAAAACAGAGTGTGTAAAAAAAAAAAAAGCAATTTGAGATAAAAAGAACATTCTTGGCACTGGCAAACATAAATTCCAAATTTTAATGTGCTTAATGAAGGATATATGGGTTGATCTCATGACCTGACAGTTAGGGGAGCTGGATCCCACATAGCTAACCATGCAGTTAGAATCCCAGCCTTGGCAGCTTAAAAAAACAAACTGGGTGCATGTACACCCATGCCCACAACCCTGAGAGGATAGGCAAATGGAGGAGAAGAGATTGTGGTTTGATCATACACCATTGGAGCATGCTTTCTTATTCTCTCTCTGTCTCTCTCTGGTGAATGCATGTGCCCTCTGGCAAAATTTTTAAAAATAAAATAAAGAAAGTGAACAGTAGAATGGTTATTACAGAAATTGAAAACTAGCTGATCAAAAGACACAAGAAAATTGCCAAAAACAAAAACCAAAATGGTAAAGCAATTAAAATTATGAGCAAAAAGATAAGATCTATGGAAGGCAAATTCCTTTAATAAACAAACTAAAAGGACTCCAAGACCTATCAGAAAAAGAGCCATCACAGGACTAATGAAAAAAATTTCTCTGGATTGAAAAAAGATTTGAGTACTTGGACCAAAAACACTCACTATGTGCCAGACAAAATTAAAGGAAAAAAAAAAAAAAAGCGTCAAGCATATGTTGGATAGATGTTTGAATTCTGAAGATTAAAAAAAAAAAAAAAAGTAACAAACAACCTAGTAAAAAAAAAACAAAAAACAAATTATACAGGAAAGAAAAACTATTCAGCCTCAAATTAGCCTTCCCTTCTGCAGCTTTAAATGTCAGAGACTGGGAAGCAATACTTGCCAGAAATCGAGATAAAAAGGTAGAAAGGCCAAACATTTTATCTTCAAAAACTTATTTTACATATATGAAGGCAGCAAAAAGATTCTCAGACACATAAAACAAGTAGTTTATCACCACATACCTTTCTTGGGGGAAAAAAGAAAGAAAGAAACTCAAGATTTCCAGTCAACTTAAAGATAGATGACAATAAAAAACTTGAGATCAGGAAAAAGATGATTTAAAAGAAAGGACAGTGGGAGCCAAACTGATGCAGTGGTAAAATGTAACACTCTGTGAGGCAGACCCGCATGAGAAGGTTCTGAGTTCACGTCCGAAAACCTCTCGGAGTATGCCAGGCGTGCACGTGCCCATGATTCATGGCTGGCTAGGGATAGGGTAGATAGTGGCATAGGGATCTTGTTGGGGGGAGTTGTCTCTTTTTCTCTGTCTCTCTCTTTCATGGACTAAATGAACACTTAAAATGAAACTATTAAAAAGAGAAACAACCTGCATCTTTTTCTTTTTTCTTTGGAAAAAAAAAATCAGTATTAACATGTTAATTCATCCCAATATCATCAATAGATTCATTGCAATCCAATAAAAATCTCAGCAAGCAATTCTGTAGAAAAAAAAAAAAAACATTGTTTTTCAATGGTATACTATACTAGAAAAGCAGGAACTTGAATTTACATCTCCTAGTTTCTTTTTTTTTTTAATTTCATAATAAACATGTTCCATTTTTTCTTTTTACATTTTTCCATCTGTTAAATGTTTCCTTTCCTTGTACCTCACACCCACTCTCTACCAGCCACTTTCCCCTCTTACAGCATCTAGCATTTACACCATCCTCTGCACCATCACATCTTCAAGTCTCTCAGCCTCCGCCATAGTTCTCAATACAAACTAAATGGGGACATACAATGTGTATCTTTCAAAGTCTGGCTCACTTCCCTAAACATTAAGCCTTTTATAGTCACCCATTTTGAGTCAAACCATAGGATCTGATTATTTCTAATAGCTGTGTAAAATTCCATAGTATATATGTTCCACAGTTTTTCAACCAGTCATTTAGACATTTTAGACATTTAGTTTTTAGACATTTAGACTGGTTCCATGTTTTAGCAATTGTAAATAGCACTTCAATAAAAACATGGATCTGCAGATGTCTTTCCAATTGTTTTCCTTTTCTTTGGTTACATACCAAGAAGTGGGATTACTGGGTCATATGGAAGCTCTATTTGTAGGTTTATGGGAAACCTCCATATTGTTTTCCACAAAGGTTGTACTAATTTACATTTCCACCAAAAGCATAAGAGTTCCCTTTTCACCACAGCCTTGCCAGCACATGTCATTGTTTTTGATCCTAGCTATTCTAATAGGAGGTAAATGGTATCTCAGTTTGGTTTAAATTTGCATTTTTGTCATGACAAGAGACTTTGAACATTTTTTCATATGCCTCTAGGTCATTCATAAATTTTCCTTGGAGAGCTATCTATTCAATTCACTTGCCTATTTTATAATTGGAGTATCCACTTCTTTATGGGTGAGCTGGTTCAGTTCCCTATATATTCTGGCTATCAATTACTTGTCTGAGGAATAATTTGCAAATATTTTATCCCATTCTGAGGGTTGTCTTTTCATTATATTTATTGTTTCCCTCATTGTGAGAAAGCTTTTTAGCTTGTTGTAATTCCATTTATCTATTTTAGGGACTACTGTCCATGCTTTATGGATCTTATTTAAGAAATTTTGCCTATTCAATGTCTTCGAAAGTTTCTCCAACTTTTTTATCCTAGTAGTTTTGCAGTTAGAGACTTTATTTTTAAATCTTTGATTCATGTTGAGTTAATTCTAGTTAATGACAAGAGATGAAGTCCAGCTCCATTTTTCTGCAGATGGATATCTAGTTCTTCCAATACCATTTGCTAAAAAGACTTTATTTTCTCCAATGCGTTGTCTTGTACCCTTTATTAAGGATCAGTTGGCTATATGATTTGTGGTTTATTTTTTGATTCTCTTCTC